TTTTTTTTTTTTTTATTTTTATTTTTTTTTTACATACTAATTCAAGATTCATTTCTACTTTTACAATATCTTGGGAAATATTAATCAGCATAGACCAAAGTTTATTATTTTTAGTGTGGGCTATAAAGGTAGGGTTCAGCATATCTAAATTTTGTTTTTTGATAATTTTCATAACTTGTGCAGGTGACCATTTCTTCTATTCTCCAATTCCAGGTAACGCTCTAGCATATATATATCCTAGATCATCATCTTGAGGCTATACCCATTCGTGAAAATTATCAATTCCTAAAAATATGCTAATTTGGATTTTTTTTAGATTTAAGAAATTCGTATTAGTTTTCATTCAATTTTAAAAAACAGATTACATAATATTACCTATCAGTCAGTTTGGTATAAGGTTTGCTATATACGTTCTAGCAATATTTTTTATAGTATTTGTTATATCTTCTCCAGATTCTATATTCAATCCTAATTTAACGTATCTTTTTATAGAATATGATATCTAAAAAGAAAGTAATATATTATGATTATTCAAAATATAAATAGATATAAAGGTAAAATATACTTGTGTATGATACAAATCAATTGCAGTTTTAGCCTCTCTAGCTTCAAGAAATATTTATTTGCAAGGATGTACATTATACCATTCATGCTACATACTTATTATTATCATTAATTCTATACAATAATAGTGTCTGCTATTATCTGACAATATAGTAACTCATTTGAGTTTTCTTTCTATCGTTTGTAGAGCAGTATGCAAAGAGGAAGCTATGAACCATGCATCTTGTCGTATATCGTCTGACCAATGGTCAAATACATGAATATTTAGTCATTATAGTATAATATCTTTTTGATAAATCAAAATACTATGTAAGGTCCAGTCTCGCTTGCTATAAAAGTCTCTTTTGGTTTCTCATGCTGTTCTTAGTTGAATTCTCATTTTATAATTAATAATGAATACTGCACTATCAATATCTAATTCGTCTAAACATACTTGAACTTGCTTATTTAGATAAGTTTTCTATGCATAATATGCTATCCAAGTAATTATTTTTTTTTAGTAGGTATTTATAGTTTTATGAAATTCTAATAAGAGATTTGCCTTTAATTTTTCAAAAAATTGAAATAATGCTTCATAGTAGATACAAGTATTTGGATAGATCATTGTACAGTTATCAAATGCATTACTTAAACAATAGCTTATGCAGGAATCATGAAGTGCTTTGCCTACTGAATTTAATATAAATTTCTTAGAATATTCTTAGCATATATATCGACATAAGGCTTGCAATTTATGAAGTAATGTATTCTAAAAAATTTTTTATAAATTAACTGTTATCTAAACTAATTTTTTTATATTATTTTATTATTATACCTTTAATATATCATTATCAATATATGTAGAAATTAAAACATTAATATTACTAATGACCTCATATCTACAATCGTTACAACTTGCACAAAGCTCTCCAAGATCATTTTGAAAAAGAAATTGTTTTTCTTCTAGTCTAGTCATAAATGCAGTTCTACGTATTCCATTAGGATATTGTTCATAAAATCAATTTCAAAGTACTGTTTTATGATCTTGTAAATATAATATTAGTAAGCCTGAAGTAGGATCACTTCGATATGAACTCATATTAATATTTTTCTTGTTAGTAAAAAAAATTTTAAACTGATTTATCATTTCTGGTTTGAACTTTAGCCATTTAACAATTGGTTTCTCTATTGCTAGTACATCAAATCTATTAATTCATGCATGCTTGCAGGACTCATTGATAGTATGATAACCAACCTTTATAAAAAAATTGTAATATTTTACTAATAACAAGCAAATAACACGTATTTATACAACTTATACCTAAATTTGTTTCTAATTCTGTATAGATAAAATCACATGTGATAATTGACAAAATACGATACTTTCTATCGAAATTTTTTTTATTATATTTCAAAGCTTGATTAAAACTAGACCAAAATGTTCATGTTGTATTAGGTATATGAATAGGAATACTATTAAGTAATCCTAATTTATAGAAATTTTGTATAGTTATTTTATCTACTTGAGTATTTTCTGATTTACTTCATAATTGATACTTTAAAAAATTAGTTAGTAAATAATAAAGGTATGTTATAATATATATATAATATATATTTATTACCTTTGATTCTTCATGAGACCAAAGTATGATATTAGTACATCCTGTAACATGAAACATTGCTTGCCATACTCTTAATTCTCTTGAATTAAATTTATATTTAGAAGAATATATATCTTTTAGTTTCAAATGAAGTTTGATTATATTACTTTTTTCATTAAGCTATGATATAAAAAAATATTGCCAATCTATATTAGAGAGAGTTCTTCATTTAAGATGATAATCAAAAAGGTATTTCATTATATCTAAATCAGTCTATTCATAAGGTAAACAGATTAGTATATTTTGTTGTTAAAGTAATTGTTGTATTTTTTGATCTGCAAGACCATATAATTGAAAGCTATTAAATTTTTGTATAATTTTAGATTCTTTCTATACAAGATCCGAAGTTGAACTAATAATTGTTTTTTTAATTTGTAAATCTTGATAAATCTCTATAATATATTTATCATTTTTAATTTTTGATATAAAAAGTGCTAGACGTTTTTTTAATAAATGTATAAGTGATGATTGATACCCATTTCCACTATAATTCCAATCAGGTTTTGTTAATGATACCATATTATATATAAAAATTGTAAAGGTTCTAACTTTACATGAAGTAGAATAAAACTCGACATCTTCACATAGCTATTTTCTTATATTTTTATTATTCTATTCAATAACTTGGGAATCCGAATATCAAGTTTTAGTTTGAAAAACTAACTGATAAACATTCGAAACTACTGTACTAGCACTTGGGGTAGTTAATTCATAAGTTTCATATTTGCATAAAAAAACTGGTTTTATATCAACTCTAGTTAATACCGTAATATAAAAGTTCTTTCAATTAAGAATTGTACAAGTTTTTTAATCTACACGAATTGGAAAATATATTTGATCCAATGAAAGTTCCTACCAGAATTGTGAATATAGACTATAGTGTAAATTAGAAACTAAAGAGCCATGTATAATTAATATAGTATTAATTTCTAAGCACTTTAACATTTTTTTTTTACAAACCATGAGTTGATTTAAACGTGTTATTAGACTTTCTATTAAACTTATCTCCAAATTTATTAATTGTTGATCATATGATTTCTGCTGATTTTAGATAAATTATTACTTAAATAGATAACTCACAGGTGAGTTACAGATATGGCAGCATAGTGTAGTACTAACAGGTAGTCTAATATCTGTATAGCGGACTACTTAAATAAGACAATAACTAAAGTTATACATGTAGCTTATTATCACTCTTCATGTAATTACAAACTGTAAAGGAACCCCATGTGGAATCTCATATATCAAACTAATAAAATTTACTTGGCTATGTAAGCTACCTTAAAAATAAAAATAAAAAAAAGCTAATATAGGATAGATCTGCAAAAATAGTAATTCAATCAAGTTTAATACAGCTATCTTCCTTTATTCTAATACTATTCATATTGAACTAGCTTCAATTATCACTCTACTTCTCACTATACTAAACAATTCTACAATCACTATATACTTAGATAATATTACAGCAATTAAAAACCTAACATCCTTCTCTTCTCACAAACTTATTCA